AGATCCCAGTATCATGTCCACCATCCTGTCCTCGAGAGAAGTGCTCGCTTCTATGACAGCGTCTGGCGATGTCCAGCCATCACACGGTTCATGGACAAAAATTTCCACGTCACGCTCAAGCGGAAGCTTCTGCTGATGGTCGTCCTCAACTTGCCCGAGAGTTTGCGGGGCAAGCTCAGGCAACACTGCCATGGTGCACAATTTGCGGTGAGACTAGGAGATTGAAACTCATACGATTCTCAGAACCGCCTCTATGCCCTGAACACCACATTCCTTGGATCGATGATTCAAGTTGAGGCTTGAATGTCTGAAGCTCCTTTGGTGAAGCGCCTGAGCCTGTGCACAGGGCTGCGGATCAGACCTGCAGTTTTGGGGGGTCTGGCTTTAAGGGTTTAGGGGTTTAGGGTTCTAGGGGTTTAGGGGTTTTAGGGGTTTTAGTGGTTTAGGGGTTTAGGGGTTTAGAGGTTTAGGGCTCATGTGGCAGCATGCTCAACTCGCTTGATTGTTGCTGTACCACTCGGCAGGTGTCACCTTCTCATCTCTGATTCCCTTGGCTGTGCCAGGAGCTCGAGGGGCAAAGCAAGTGACTTCGCCTGGGGCCTGGGCTGCGATCGCGGAACGTGACCCGTGCCTACATGTGCTTACCATGTTGCTTGCGCATTAAGATAAGGATCCAGGCACGCTGCTCCATGCTCTGCAACGGTACAACGAAGGAAGCATCGTGCAAGGCAGGGCTTCGATTGCTGTTGCAGGCTCATCTAAGATTGAGGAAGCACATCATCGGAAGAATCTCCGAACTGAAACCCCATGAGAGAATTCAAGTCTGTTCGCATCCCGCGCTGAGGAGGCGTATTTATTGCGGAGAATTTGCAGGGCAGCCCGTACCCGAAGAGCTTCTTGGACCGAGGATGTTCCTTGTAGGTATAGACTGTATAGAATATGTAAGCCTTCCTTCATTTCATGTTGTGCACCGTGGTCGGCAGTATCACCCCGAGGCATTGACGGCCCCTTGCGTCTGTTGAAGAGACCGTAGGGAGTCCGTAAGCAAGTGCTCCTGTCCACCACAAAAACTATGGTGTCTTCCATGACGAGCAAAGCAAGTAAGGTCCTGGGCCGCACTCTGCGTCGTTTGCCTCAAGGCTTCGTACTGAGTCGGGCTTGCGGGTTTGTTAGAAAAGGACTATACTAGGAGCTGGTGACAGTTCCAGGGTCTATGTCGCGCAGCTACGACTTCTCTATCTGATCACTCAATGCTAAGCCCTTTCCTTCATCTCAGCACCATCTTTTTTTGTGGTGTGGTAAGACTCGGTGCTTCATCCCAGAGCCCTGGATATGGTGCGATTCAGCCGCTGTGTCAGGGTGCCGACCGTCTGGCTATACGTCAGCGTGTCAGCAGCACCTTCGAACCAAAGCCAGCTTTCAGTCGAATAAGGAGGTCTCAATTTTCAGAAATATTACACCCTGATTGTCATAGTCCCTATATGCCTATACTGCTACAGTATTACACTTGCTAGCGCTTGCTCCACTGGAACATAATTGTCATCACCCTTATACTATTACAACCAGGGTGGTTGTAACAACCTTACTGTAGATATGGTTGGTGCTGCTATTGTCGTATCTGTTTGAACTCCGAAAGCCTATACCCCAAACCCTGAACTCCAATCAAACACCCCAGGGCTGCAAACCCTTGACCGTAACCCACAACTCCAAAACTGCAAACCCTAAACCTTCAACCCTCATTGGAAGGTTTCAAGGAACCCCTAAACCACTAAACCCCTAAAGGAAGCCTCAAAGGAACACCAAAAACCCAAACCCCAACTTAAAGGAACTCCCAAACCCCAAACAGATCTGAAGCTTTTTGGTCGAATCTCGCCTCGCCGCACCGGCGTGAAGCGGAAGTCGCTCCCGGCCGCAACTTGCAAGGCACCTGCATAGGGGCCCTCATAGTTTGAATATGGGCCCTTGAAAGGGATCTACAAGGGTTACTAGAAGGGTTTAGTATAGGGACCATCATAAATTGAATGAGGGGTCCTTCTAAAAGGATCTACAAAAGTTGCTATGATTAGCATATGATCTTCTATGTTTTGGGTGTCTACAAGAGCATCGGGGCCTTAAAAAGTGGAACACATTTTTGAGGTATACTGCTGTGTACTGTACAATAGTTGCAGCAGCAAGGAGTCCTAAGGAATAGTTGTATACTACTTACCCAGAGAGCCCAAGGCCCCTTAATTAAGGAATATACCTTAAACCATAATGTCAAGGCCCCTTAGCATTTAAGGTATAATCCTTATTGAAGGGGTATTGGGCTCTTTGGGCAGCTAAGGCTTCTACACTAGGAGACTTGAGCGACAGACTGCGTCTCCTCTGGAGGTTGGTTTAATGGGGCCTGGGCGGTTTAGGGTTTAGGGGTTTAGGGGTTTAGGGGTTTAGGGTTTAGGGTTCAAGTGGGTTTAGGGTTTAGGGGCTTGGGCTGTAAAGATCACAGATTGTCGATTCCACTGGGAGGGTGTGAGTGTGCATAGGTGTATATACATGTATTTCCAAATACCCTTGCATATGTGTGTATGTATGCACGTATGCATGCATGTATGTACATGTATATAGGTATATTTTTGAGCCCGAGACCTTTAGAGTCTATTTTACTAACAAGCTATGTATACAAGCTACAATCACTGGTTAAACAGTTTCCATCTATGACTAGAAATGCATGGCTGTCGGCCGTTCGTCTTCCAATGTTCGTCCAAATATACCAATCGCTGAAGCTGTCATGACATGTCACCTCCAGCACACCTCGAATCAGCCTGACCACCTGCAACACGCAAAGCCTGTTGTGGACGGGCATGCACAAGTCGGCGAGAATACACATCACCCAGGGTGTGAACGCTGTTTCAGGGAGTTACACATCAGTGCCGAGAATCGCATCAATACAATCTCCGAGTGTGTCTGTAGTCTGCGAGCCAAAAAGCTTGAAGGAAAGCAACGGTCTCGTTTTCTCACACACACCTTGAGCCTCAGCACAGCATATTCCAAACCAGTCGTGACTTGCAACATAGTCGATGAACACACATCATGATATGCACTGAAATAGAGATCTACAGTTGCTCTACAAAGTTGTTACCCCCCTTTCCTGGTTGCTCTTACAGGCTTCCAGTAACTCAAACCTTGTCACAGACTGATACCACGTTGGCACCGTCTAGATTTCTGCATCTTGCGGCAGATCCGGTCTCACAAAGGAAAGTCCACCAAGCTCACAAGGTCCAGATCAACGGAGAGGGCAGTAAAGGCACCAGAGGCAGCTGAGGTTCCAGTAACCAGTACCCTCCTGAGTGATACCCTCCACTGTGTTTCGCATGCAGTCAACTGCGATGTCCCTGGTGGAAATTGGCGAGCGAAGCCATGTGTAGAGCCCCTTGAGCTCAAACGCAGGCATAGGAGCAGTCATCTTAGCGATGAGCACACCACGATCCCAGTCTATCCAGGTATACAAAGGACGGGACTTCCCCGATAGGAGTCAGAACAAGTGCTGGAATGCCTCGAGCCGAATATACAGCGATTCTGCTTGGGATCAGAGGCACCACATCGCATGACACTGCAAATACAAGGTCTCCGCAGTGTGTTGTGATCTTTGGGGTGCTGATTATGTGAGTGACTGATACTGGGGATACTACAGCCCTTCCTACTGTGCTTGGATGCGGTAGTCCTAGAAGTACTGCACTCTCCATGTGAAGTTCGTCCTCGTCATGTATCGTAGCCTTTGCACACCTTATTATAGCTGCCTCTTTGGGAGTGGCTCCAGAGGGTGTCACGCGCATCGCTGTAGTCCCACATTGCGACCCCACTTAACATTGGCCGGCATCGTCTGAGATCGCCCATGCCCAGCGTGGATAGCAGGTATCAGCCGCACCTTCTTTGCCGCGAACTTCAGTGGCCTCACCAATTCCTCACCGTGGGTAACACACCTCCACAGAGCCCCACCTTCTGTGCCAGGTCGGGATAGTGGATCTCGAATAAACACGTGGTGGTGTGCCCACTGAGCAGCGCAATGGAACATCACATCGCACACCTCCACACTACACACCTGCTTCCTCGTGAGATTCCTATGGCTTGCAGATGCAGAATCCGAGATGAAGGTAACCTTTCCGTTGGCAAATGTCAACAGGAGTCCCATCTTCCCAGTTGATGGGTTCCGGTGTTCATAGGCCTCGGCAACCTCCAATGGCCGGCTC